ACAGGAACAGGACAGCTCATGGTATAGTGGTAATGTCCTCACCTCTGGGCCAAGAGGCCTGGGTTCAAGCTTTACCTGCTCTGAAGGTGGTATTATAACATCTCTGAAAAGGTTGATTAGGAAACGGAAATTATAATTGGTGCCTGCAAACACAGACAACTATCAATAATGTAAGGGTAGGGCATCATACAAGGTGTAGTTCAATCATAGAATGTAGGTACTTAAAAAAAACCATAAACAGCAAGTTTAAACCTTTCTACATCAATTTATGGTCTTCCAGTTTATTCCCCTAATTTGTTTTTAGTTGTTAAGGAAGAGAGATTTGTGACTGTCATCTAGAAGGTCAGTACAGCCTCCTAACAATATGTAGGTGTTTATGCACAATTTAGAAAAGGTGACAGGTTATAAGAAGGGTATTTATTTAAAGTTACTAATTCCAATAATGTCAAGTAATCTGGAAATTTGAACAACATTGAAAAGGAATTGGCTCCTGAGCAAAAGGGTAAACTTGACACTGTGGAGGAAATGAATATTAGGTAGGAATTCTAGGAAACCTGAACAGATTTAGATCTTAGGAACAGCAGAGGGAGAGAGAAAAATCTTATAATTTCCATTTAGTTAACTATTTAAACACACAAATATAACAAAAGAAACTACAAATGCTGAAAATACACAGAAAGCCCATCAGTCAGAATCTATAATGGTAAAACTTTAGACGGAGACAATCAGAACCAAAGATCCAAAAACTTCCTTAATTGCATCATCTTCTTAGCTTTTAAGAACGAAAAGGTTTTCCTATACTTGACTTCATTCCTCAAGGGCACAAAAATTGCTACTAATATCATATGGTAAGAGCAAGTTTTTATTTGTGATTCAGTAGCATTTCAAATACAAACCGCTAAGTTAAAATGTTTTTTAAAAAAAAACCAAGCTAAAGCAGAGATCAAAAAATACTACCTCAGCCAAGTGATCAGTGATATTCTTGAATAAGAGCTGGGGCAAAAAATAATAAAACTTGTATTTATGTAGCTTTTGGTAGGAAAATCAGAAAGTCAACTACTTGAATGGTGATTGATTGGGAAAGTTTAACACACAATAAAGGACCTGGGGTGTTCTTGTACACTTGTCACCGAAAGCAAGCATGCAGACTCCGCATACAATTAGGAAAGCAAATAGTTTGTTCTCCGAGACAACAAGGTGCAGGGCTGGATGAACACAGCAGGCCAAGCAGCATCATAGGAGCAGAGAGGCTGATGTTTCGGGCCTAGACCCTTCATCAGAAAAGGGGGAGGGGAAGGGGGTTCTGAAATAAATAGGGAGAGAGTGGGAGGCGGATAGAAGATGGATAGAGGAGAGGAAACAAACAGGTCAAAGAGGCGGGGATGGGGCCAGTAAAGGTGAGTGTAGGTGGGGAGTTAGGGAGGGGATAGGTCAGTCCAGGGAGGACGGACAGGTCAAGGGGGCAGGATGAGGTTAGTCAGTAGGAGATGGAGGTGCAGCTTGAGGTGGGAGGAGGGGATAGGTGGGAGGAAGAACAGGTTAGGGAGGCAGGGACGAGCTGGACTGGTTTTGGGATGCGGTAGGGGGAGGGGAGATTTTGAAACTTGTGAAATCCACATTGATACCATTGGGCTGCAGGGTTCCCAAGCGGAATATGAGTTGCTGTTCCTGCAACCTTGGGTGGCATCGTTGTGTCACTGCAGGAGGCCCAGGATGGACATGTCATCTGAGGAATGGGAGGTGGAGTTGAAATGGTTCGCGACTGGGACATACAGTTGTTTATTGCGAACCGAGCGTAGGTGTTCTGCAAAGCGGTCCCTGAGCCTGCGCTTGGTTTCCCCGATGTAGAGGAAGCCACACCGGGTACAGAGGATGCCACACCGGGTACAGAGGATGCAGTATACCACATTGGCAGATGTGCAGGTGAACATCTGCTTGATGTGGAAAGTCTTCTTGGGGCCTGGGATGGGGGTGAGGGAGGAGGTATGGGGGCAGGTGTAGCACTTCCTGCGGTTGCAGGGAAAAGTGCCGGGTGTGGTGGAGCTGGAGGGGAGTGTGGAGCAGACAAGGGAGTCACGGAGAGAGTGGTCCCTCCGGAAAGCAGATAAGGGTGGGTAGGGAAAGATGTCTTTGGTCGTGGGGTCGGATTGCAGATTCTCCTTCCTTGCAAATGGAGAAGTACAGTAGTAATACTGTCTTACTACAACTGTACAGGGTCTTGGCGAGAACACACCTGACATTTTGGGCTCAAAGAAAGGATATACATGCTTTAGAGGATGTGCAATGAAGGTTCATGCGAACCACCAGCAATTCCTTTCTCTGTAGAGAGAGGGAAAAGCAGAGAAAGGAATTGCTGGTGATAATCCAGCACAGATAAATGCTAATGGGGGTTAACGAAACATATGAATAGTTAAAAATGGGGAGCAACCCATACAGAGCAGGACCTGGGGGCACAGGGGTGGGTAACCAACATGGAGGAAGGTGTTTATGCACAAAATTGGTAAACTCGAATATTGTGTACTGAGGGCTGTAAGGTGTTGGTCCTCTAGCTTGTGCGGAGTTTCATTGAAGCACTGTAGCAGGCCTAAGACAGAAACATAGGCATAGAAAGACAATGGTGTGTTAAAGTGGCAAGTAACTAGAAACGGAGATTTTTTTTTTTAAAAAGAGTGCAAGTCATCCACAAAGCGCTCACCCAGTCTTCGTTTTGTCTCCTCGTTGTAGAGGAGATCGCATTGTAAATATATTCAGTAGAGCTGCTCACAAAAGTAGATAGCGAGATTTCTAGACACTAAAAGGAATCAATTAACACAAAATCAGAAGTTGCTGGAAAAGCTTAGCAGGTTTGGCAGCATCTAGGAGAAAAATCAGACCCAACACTTAGGGTCCGGCGACCCTTCCTCAGAATGGACGCGAAAAGTTAACTCCGATTTCTTTTCACAGATGCTACCAGACCTCCTGAGGTTTTCCAGCAACTTCTGTTTTTGTTTCTGATTTACAGCACCCGCAGTTCTTTTGGTTTTTAAATTGACGAATCGATGGATATTGGGTGAGAACGGGACAACAGCATTGAGATAGGGCAACAGGCACGATCATACTGAATAAAAGAGTAGGCTCAGTGGGTTGAATTTTCCTAATTTCTATGACTGCAATTTTAGGGACAGGCTCACTTGGGCAAATGAATATATAGAAATTTGTAAATGGAAACAGTTAAAAAAAGGACCAGAAAGTATACAACATTAAAATTATATCTGAACTACATCTGTATTTTTTTCTGGCTGATTGCCTAGCCTCTTGCTTATTATCAGAAGATATCTTACCTTGCATGCCCACAAACGTGGATCCGTATGTCATAAAATATTGCCTACTTTCCCCATTTATCTGTGCAAAATGTTATTTCCAGTCATGGTTTGCATCAATTTTTCTTCCCCATTATAGAGCACCCATCTGCACGTTCGTAACGAAAGCTTTCCTACACAAATGATAGAATTACAGAAGCCATACAGTGCAGATAGCAACCATACTGTCCACTGGGTCTGCACTGACCCTCTGCAGAGCTTCCCAATCTATAGCCTGCACATCACTGGGCAATTTAGCATGTTTAATCCATCTAAACCGCACATTTTTGGACTGCGAGAAGAAACCAAAGCAGCTGGAGAAAATCCATGCAGACATGAGGTGAACATGCAAACCACACAGACAACAGTGCCTCAGTACCCCCCACGTGCTACAATAGCTCCCCTCCGTCTACGACAGCACTATCACACCATTTTGCTTCTTCCAGTAACAGAGGCTGTGCTACGGGGAAACTTAGATTAAATCAGAATTGAAAGCTAATGACAACTAAGTCATGTATACAATTGTTAATGGGCAGTTGCAAGACTGCTAGTGCAATCATCGGGGACCAAGAAACATGTCAAATTGCTTCACATCCATAAATTTTTTTAAGAAAAGGATTTGTTGGATTTTCACATAACATTTCTGTGAAATGTTTAAAGGGCTAAGGCTGGTAGGTAAAGCCACCACAGTCCTACTGGACCTGAGGGCTGCCTTCTCATTAGAGGGACAATTGATTTAACCTTAGGGTCAGCACACCTCAGATGAGGGGAGAGTTTGAGGGCAGCCATTCATGGTAACCCTAGCCAGTACAATAATTGAACTCATGCTGTTGGCATTGTTGGGGCAGCACGGTGGCTCAGTGGTTAGCACTGCAGCCTCACAGTACCAGGGACCCGGGTTCGATTCCAGCCTCGGGCGACGGTCTGTGCAGAGTTTGCACGTTCTCCCTGTATCTGCATGGGTTTCCTCCCACAGTGCAAAGATGTGCAGGCTAGGTGGATTGACCATGCTAAATTGCCCATAGTGTTCAGGGGTATGTGGGTTATAGGGGGTAGGTCTAGTTGGGATGCTCCAAGGGTCGGTGTGGACTTGTTGGGCCAAAGGGCCTGTTTCCACAGTGTAGGGATTCTATTATCTGGATTGCAAACCAGCCATCTCTCCCACCAGTACATTTAAATTAACTGTCAATTTGCCAATGTAGACAGCCTTCAAAGACCTGTCCCTCTTCTCCAGCTGAAGAGAATTAGTTCAGTTTTATAAACTTGCTTTTATATGTAAAGTTTGCTACATTTTCTGATGCACACCACACAAAAGCACAGCTCAGCAAGAAGCAAGGCTAGGTATGTGTAAACATAATCAACACTGTCCCTCAGGATTGCCACCCAAAAACTTATCCCTTCCACCAGGATGCATAAAGGTGGTCAGCAATATCAATTCTGGTCACCTCCTTCCGTTCTGATCTTTTAGAGCCAATGACTCAGAGAATGGAGAGAAAAGGAAATGATAAAAATCATGTCTTTTAACAAAGTTAATTTATTTTTCCCATTGTTAGTCTAGTGAAAAATCGACATTGAACAACAAAGCATCTCGGTCCTCACCTTGCTTGTGGTGATCAAATTTACAACTGAAGAAACAAAAAATGGAAAACAGAAGCACAAAACTTGCTTTTTAAAAGCATATTTATTCATTCAGCATTTTTGGCACAGTGGGATTGTGGATTCCTTTTATTCTTCTACAAACTCCAATGTATTGTCTGGTTTTATCTACACATGAATTTTCAGGCAACCTGTTGAGCAATCCAAGATGGAATCAAAGCAAACAGAACATGCAGTACACACATACAGACAAATAAGCACAAAATTGGCAGAAAATTTAAGGCACCTTCATTTTAGTGTTACTTATTCTGTTTTGGCATTTAAAGGCAAAATTTTGAAACTGCAAAAGGCAACAAAGTATTAAATGGAATCACTTAAGTCACTTCATCTTTTTAAAAATCACTTTTTTTTTTGGTCATTAAACAGGTAGTGTTAATAAATGTTCAAATTATCCCTTTTGCCATCCACTCTCAACTGGTGGTTGGTTAGCAGAATGTTTAAAATGACCTGCATGGTTGTTCCAGCACAGCTTAATACTACTCAAGTTAGAACAAATACAGAAAACTGAAGGGAATTCTTTGCTTTTCTTACTACACAAAAACATAATTATCATGGGAATAAGCGTTCCCCAACTGAGTTTTAGAATAGAAAAAACCACCATGAGTAGAAAAAGCAATTTCCCTTCAACACTTGTGCTGAAATTAGAGAAAGAAAGTTACCCCATTAGTCTTTAAATAATGACTAAAACAGTTTCAAGAGACAATTACAAAAGAGTAGTGTTATTAACTAAATGTTGCTATTTTAAAATCACATTTATTTAGATGTGCATGGTACTCATTGAGGTTTGAAGGGATGGCAGTCATCTGTCAAAATGTAAACTTCGAAATTTACAAGTTTTCGAAAGCTGGAATATCAAAGCTACAGATAAACTGGGTAATAACATTCATGAGTTTCTCAAATGAGGTTGTGAAAGAAATTGACTTTCATTGTCACTTGCAAATCATGATTGCTAACTGTACACATTGTCCAGACCATAAAAACCACTGAAATTATTCAAATTTTATGTTAATAAAAAGATTAGATAACCTACATGGTTATAGAAGATTGTTAACTTCTGGTGTGACCAATCATTTATTAGGATTGGCTGGTTGCAAATCATGTCTTCTATATCTCAGCCAAATTCTAGGCATTGAATGTTTATCTATTGATTTGTTTAATGCTGGAAGTTCAGCCAAAAGAATCAAGTAAAGCTGGAACCTTCTATTGAGACTAATTAAACAGGATATTTTGAACACAGATGAAATTAAGACATTGTACAAATCTACATATGAGCAGCTGTCCATTGTATTAAGAGTTATGGAAATAAGCTTTGTTGAAAGCCAATGCAAAACTGCACAAAAAAAATTGGCAGAATATATTCACATCTGGAAATGATCTGAAGGCTTTCAAATTTACAGGAAAAAACCCAGCATAGCACATGGATTAGTTTCTGAAATAGAATGAAATTCTCTGCCTGCTTTTCCCTTAACCCCACATCCCAAGAAACATGATTTTTAAATTTTATTAGCAAGACATTTTCTCACAAAAGTTTCTTTGTGCCAGTTCAAGCAAATGGATTGAAAGATAAATATACAATCACTGTAAAAAGGATTCCATGTGCTCAAATAATTTCTGAGTTCTAGCTTTCCTTGTGCTTCTATTATCCAAGGTTCAAGTTTATTGAAAGTAAACGTTTACATCTTGCTAAAGCATTCCTTAGCATTGGTCCAGACTTGAATTCCCTACAAAAGAAAAAACATGCATTTTCATAAATAAATTGGGTTTAAAAACTCATTTATATAGAACTTTTCATGACAAACCAAGCATTTTGCAGCCACTGAAGTACTTTCAAAGCTATTTTAGTGTAGGAAACCAATAGGCAGGCAATTTGTATGCAAACTCCCACAAGGCAATCAATGAACCACCAGATAGCTTTTGTTTGACATTATTTGGAGCACAAATATTGGCCAGGATTCTGGGAATACTTCCCAAGCTCTTTTTTTCAAAAGTAGGGTTGTGGGATATTTTCCATCCAAGCAAACAGATGGGGCCTCGGTTTAATATCTGAGCCTAAATACAAGACCTTTCTTAGTACTTCACTGGAGCATAAAGCCGAGATTCCAAACACACGAGTGGGGCTTGAACAGATTGGAGATAGCTAACGTGACCCCTCTATTTATGAAGGGTTGCAAACAAAAACGCAGAAATTATAAATCTGTCAACCGGAGTTCAGTAGTAGGGAAATGCTAGAATCCATTGTGAAAGACTCAATAACTGAGCACTTTGAAAATTGAGAGACACCAAGGCGCAGGGCTGGATGAACACAGCAGGCCAAGCAGCACCATAGGAGCAGGAAGGCTGACGTTTCAGGCCTAGACCCTTCTTCAGAAAAAATGTGACTGAGCACTTCGAAAATTGTGACAGGATTGGGCAGAGTCAGCATGGACCTTTGAAACGGAAGTAATGCTTAATAAGTCTACTAGAATTCTTAGAGGATGTAACTTGTAGAGTTACATGAGGGACAGCCACTGGATATGGTTTATTTGAAACCTTCAGAAGGCTTTCCAAATAGTCCCAACACCAAGTGATTAGAGTGTAAAATTAAAATACATGGGATTGTGGCTAGAGTATTGAGGGGATAGAAAACTGGTTGACAGACAGGAAACAACGTAGGATCCTTGGTCACTGACTGCCATTTAGAAAAGCAATGGCGAGCTGAGAGGAGCATGCAGAAATGCTTCAGCGTGATTCGGACAAACCGAGTGAGAGTAAGCAAACACACGGCAAATGCAGTACAAGTGCAGACAAATTTGAGCTATTGACTCAATGCAAAAACAGGAAGATGGATTATCTGAATGGGCAGGGCAGGGTAGGGGAGCATTTAGGATTGTATAATGAGAGCACAAGACAAGTCAGCTTGCAACAATACAGGATAAATTTATGAATAAGATGAGATAGGAGAAATCTCTTCACCGACATAACAGCGAGCCTGTGGAATTTTTGTTACTACAGAAAGCAGCTGAGGCCAAAACGTTACATGAATTCAAGAATAGGTTAGTTATAAGAATTTGGGGCTAAAGGGATCAAAGGATATAGGGGAAAAGTGGGAACAGACTATTTAGTTGGATGATTGATCATGATAATGAATGGAGGAGCAGGCTCAAACAAGGCTGAATGGCCAACCCCGTTTCTATGTTTCTAGATTTCCCAGCCAGGGTGGGGGTGGCAGGGCGGGAGAGAGGAGATCAAAGGAAGTTTCAATTTCCAAGATAGTGACCAAAAACAAACCCCTGCCTCCACTGAGAATTTGACATGTCATTTTCAGTGCCACTCAACATACATGCTACATCTAAAACAGTCAAAAGTGCTGAACTTGAGCTGCTCTTGGGCCATTCTCAGAACTCATTAATGCTGATCATAAATGCCACTTTTACATTGGAGTATTAGGTCATAAAATTTCTTTCCAAAAAAAGTAGGCAAGCAGCAAACAGTCTAAACAATAATCTTAAATTTTGTGCTTTAAGAGATCTGCACAGCTAAACCATAATAACCTGTTTCCATTTATTTTACTCAACTATGATATCTATTCTATATACTATGGTGAAAAGTCAAGCCATTTAGTCTCCTAGTAAAGCACTAGAATAGTCTTCAATGCAGAGTTAAATTATCCAGATTTTTCAAAAGGAGAGAGAAAAAAAAAAAGATGGGAGCCTATAGTAATACCACAAAGTTAAATTAGAGCAGGTCTTGATTTGATTCCTAAAGGCACACTGCATTGGGTTCCACATCTTAAGTCATTAAAATGAATTCACACTATTTTATTCACTCTTCTGAAAGAAAAATCATACCAATTTATCATACAGACCCCTTCAGATTTGATTAATCCCTCAACATAATTATGAATACATAAGCAACAACTTCAACCATCCCATATGCCTATAGTCTGTACAATTTTTAAACACAATGCTCAAAGTGTTGGAAATTGTCCTCATTATTAGGGAAATTAAAAGGCTTGGTCTAATAAAAGGAAACACTGATAAATTTGAAAAGTGCATTTGTTCCAAAAACAGTCCAAGTTAACGATTAGTATCCATTAACAAGGAGTTCAGTTCAATCATAAGCTGACTACAGTTAATATGCATTAACACGACCAAAAAAAGTTACTGAATTTCCCTCCAAGTAGTCAAAATATGAAGGATTCAAGTGCCCAAGTCTTACAATTTGTTGGTGGCAAGAATCTCAACTGAGAGACACCATAAATAGCTATTCAACAGAAAACTTGTTTACCGGGTTTAGTCACAATCCAAATATAACCAAAAGTTTCAAGAAAGGCAGAAATTATGGCCTGACTGACTATTTACTGAAGTACCATTTCAAGTTTGTGCACTTGAGCATGCACCAAAAAAAAACTATATTAACCCCTACAAGTTGTATATTTCCCAAAAAATTAAGAATCAACTCAGCAAATTTGTACAAACATTCGTGACTTGTGGTGTTTATTTGCTTTCAGAAATCTGATAAGTTAGAACAAATGCAATCCCTCACCACCATTTAGACCAATTTGGAAGCATTTCAACACAAACAAATCAAAACAGAGACAACTCTTTTTAAAAAAAAAATAAAGATGGATTGGTGCCAACTAAAGAAATTATAGGCTCCAGCTTCCTGGTGAGGTTTCATAGGCAGTATAACCATAGTGTTGATGGGGCAAGAGGGCAAAGAGAAAATAGATGACAGGAAAGGCGAAAGCATTTTTCATTGAACTGGTGAAGAATAAGAGACTTGGGAAGAGAGTATCTCACATATTCCTCTAGTATGACAGCCATCATCTTAGAATATAATCACAACAGGAACAATCACTGAAATGCATTGTCGTCTAACATTTTTGTAACTAGGACAAAAGATATGGACTCCTAAAGTCAATTCTAAGCCACAGCAGTGAACTGTTCAGTTTTCAAAACTGAAAAAAAAAAGTTTAGCTTGGTTCAATTGAACATTTTCAAATTGGTCTGAATCTCAACTGCAAAGGTCAAGTTTCAGTTGAGTATAGCCTCAAAAGCAGAACATTTGCAATTAAAAATTGTGGCAAAATACTTTCAATCCCTAAACATGCAGATGATCATGAAGATTTATGTTTACGAGATTCAATTTTCTCCTCACTCATGTCATTCCATCCATGGTGGTTTTAAAAAAGGCAATTGCATTAATGACCAACCCACCTTTTTGCACATGCTTATCTGCATTACTGCATAACTGATAAGAGCCTCTTTCAGGTCATTGTTCTTCTGTTCCTTAAAGCGCTCAATGTCTGCCCAGGCATCCTTCATGAAATCTCTAAAATTTGATATCAAAACAGAATGTAAACATAATACAAGCCTGAATTTAAAAGGAACTCAGAACTGGGATCCACCTTGAAGTTTTAAAAGTTAACGACAGAGTGAATTAAGCCGAAGACACATCCATCATGGAAAAGTACAAGAGCAAGTTGGTGTAGGCATACAGAACTCCCACACCAGAGGAAAGCAAGCATCAGTAAATGGCACTTATACCTCTAACTTGTTCAAATTCATGAAGCTCCAAGGAAAACCAGGCAGACAATGGTATAGCGGTAATGTCACTGAAATAGTAATCCAGAAGCCCAGGATAATCTTCTGGGGACATGAGTTTAAATCCCATCATGACAGCAATGGAATTTAAAAACTATTAAGTTTGAAGTTGAAAAGCTAATTTCAGTAAAAGGTGACGATGAAACTATTAGCAATTTTCTCAAAAAGCCATAAAGCTCAATAATGTCCTTTAGCAAAGGGAATCTGCCATCCTTGCCTAGGAGACAACAGTTCAAGCAGATTAGATTTTACCCCAAGTGGATGTTGTACCCAAAACTATACCCAAAATTGAATGTGGCAAACAGACTCCACCACAAAGCAGGTAGAAATTTTTTTTTTTTTTTGAAAAAACAACTTTGACAAGAAATTGCACTCCTTGGTATTGGAAGGCAAGGGGGTAAATTGGGGTTAAGATATTTCAACAAGAGTTGTCAAGAAAGGCTTTCATTTATAAGAGTTATTCACCTTAAAAAGAACCTTATGTAGCTGAAAAGAGGGACTTTGAAGTGAAAGCATCTTTACAAAAGTAGCAATCGTGTGAAAGAGCTACTACAATATTTTGGAACTCAAAATACCTATAGTGTGGGAACAGGCCCTTCAGCCCAGCAAGTCCACACTAATCCTCAGAGCATCCCACCCAGACCCATCCCCTATAACCATCCTAATCTATCCATCCCTGAATACTACAGGCAATTTAACATGGTCAATTCACCTACCCTGCACATCTTTGGACTGTGGGAGGAAACCGGAGCACCCAGAGGAAACCCACACAGACACGGGGAGAATGTGCAAACTCCACACAGACAGTCACCCGAGGTTGGATTCGAACCCAGGCCCCTGGTACTGAGAGGCAGCAGTGCTAACCACTGAGCCAATCAGAAACACAAAAATATTGTTCAATTGTTGAAATGCAGACAAACATTCAATTGTGCAAAACCCAGATTCTGGGTGGGTGCAAAGGCTGGTAGGTTTGTATTTTTGAAGTTATGAAATACCTCAAATTTCCAAAAGCACATCACATTTACTTGGAATGAAATCAGTGTTATGCAATAATGAATAAACAATTGTACTATGTGAATCTCAACTAGCCCCAACCCCTAACCTCATAACGTACAATTTTTGTTCTCCTTCAGTTGCTTATCAAATTCCCTTTTCAAAGCCACCATTTGATTTACCTCCAAGCCTCAGGCAACTTTCCAGATTCAGTCTACTCACTGTATAAAAAAGTATTTAATCATATCGCCTTCAATCCGTTTCCTCTGGTTCTTGTCCCCTCTGCCAAGGAAACAGTTTCCTTCTATTTACGTTGTCCAGACCCAGGATGATTTTGAACAATGCCCTAAAAATATCATTTCAATTTCCTTTGCTAAAAGGAAATATCCCAGCTTCCTCATTTTAACTTCTTAAGTGAAAGTGGGGAAATCAATCTTTTCTACACCTTCTTTAATGCCTTTACATTCTTGCAGGTGAGTGGTGTCTAGAATTAGACAATATTGTAGTGGAGATCAAATCACTTTTTAAAAAGGGACATCATTACTTCCTTGCTTTGACACTCCATGAATAATGAACCTAGGATTCCTATGCTTTTAAAATCAATTGCTCAACCTGCCCTTCTGCCTTCAAATGATTTATATGCACATCTCCAAGTATCCTCGAGAGATAGCACCATCCTGTTACCTAACACATTAGTCTACAAACTTCAAAAAAGCTCAGAAAACAAAGTATACTCAAAGATTAATTTGGACAAACAGGGTACCAAACAGTATGGGGTGGGAATGGGCATTTGCTGCACTGCATGGCTAAACCTTTCAAGTGAAATCTCCTGGTCAATGGTTTATCTCTTTACTTTGGATAATTTCACATCCCCAAAGAACGTTCCCGAAAGCAGAATGGTTCAGGTTTGTTCAAGGTCTCATTTTAAACACAGATTGGTGAGAAATTAATAGTCAATATTTTGATAAATAAATATTGAATGGCTCATTCCTTAACCACTTTAAACCAGTACAGATTATATTTGCAAGTTGCATTAAAGCTATCAAAATGCACAAGTGGCATAGATTCTGTACTCAGACTTCTGAACAATTTAAAATCTACAATCAAGGCACTCTGAATAGTCCAAAGTTAAAGGAAGGACTCCAAAAAACACTACTGAAAATGACCCCTTTCAAAACTCAAAACCTATCAAATCTAGTAGAACTTCTAAACAATTTTTTTTTAATACAAATCCAAAATTAGTTACTAAAGTCTGCACAAAATCAATGCTACAATACTTTCAGTCAACAAGATTTGTTTAGCAGTAGAACATACAAGTTGTACTGCTGGCCTTACTCGCATTCAAGATTCTTGGCCTTCACAAGCTCCTCTCCATCAGCAATTTGCTCCTCCAACATGTTTAGCTTAGCTTCTCTTTGTTCCGGTGTTTCCTGCCCAAAAAGTTTACTTGTCATACCTTTCAGGGAGAATGTTCTTACTGTCTGTAAAAAGATGAAAAGAATAAAAATTGGTGTCATCATTCTAATGTAGCAAATTAGATATTTCCATAAAGACATATTTCCCATTGTGGTCATTAATCAATAAAAAGAGTAAATACTGTTAAAAACAAGTTATGCAAAATATGAGGCTATAATATTTGTCTATTAAGACAGATCAGAAAGAATTCATATGACGACTGAATCCAGCAATACACAAAAACTTAGCTACTTAGCATCCTGATGCAGTATAGAAACTTAACATACAAGGTTGAAAAACGTTCTGCAATGAAGCCTACAAAAAGACCGGACATCAGATAGGGATTTCCACAGAAAGATTGAGACCACTTCAATGGATAATTTCACAATTTTAATGACGTATAGAAGTCATGAACACACTTGCCCAAAGAAAAGGGAATTGATGATTGCAATTTGTACAGATGCTACTCCCACTCAAACAGTGAACGAACTAAGTGATGAAAGAAAATGGTATGCAAAGAACATAAGAGGAGTAGCAATTTACCACTTTGATGTTGCCCAGTCACTCAATATCATGGCTGATTTGCCCAAGGCATCAATTCATCTTTTGCATCAGCTCATCCCAGATTCAAAAATATTGAGTGATTTGATGGATAAACTACCTTCTCTCAATACTTTTTGATCTAAACCTCCACAATTCTGTCAAGACCCCTCAGAATCTTGTATGTTTTGAAAAAGGATTTTATCAAGGTTGAAAGGGTTCAGAAGAGATTTACCAGGATGTTGCCAGGTATGGAAGGCTTGGGTTATGAAGAAAGGCTGGATAGGCTCAGACTTCTTTCCAATGGGAGTGTAGGAGATTGAGGCGCAACCTGACAGAGGTTTATAATATAATGAGGTATAGATAGAGATAATGGTAGTTTTCTTTTCCCTAGGATGGGGGGATTTAAAGACTAGGGAGCACATTTTTAAAGGAGAGAGCAAAGATTTAAAAAAGACACGAGGCAATTTTTATTTTTAATTCACAGAGGGTGGTTAGCATGTGGAATGAACAATGTAATTTTACCCACATCCACCACTTCCTCAATGTTTAAAAGACATTTGGATGAATAGGAAAAGTTTGAAGGGACATGGGCCAGGAGCAGGCAGGTGGGATTAGTTTAGTTTGGAATTACGTTCAGCATGGACTGACAGGTCTGTTTCCATGCTGTAGGACTCTGACTCTTCAAGAAGATTACACCCATGCTTCTAAACTCCAATGATTAAAGATTTAAACTTATTAAGTTTTTTTGATAAGTCAACCGCCCCTTGGGTGGCATGATGGCTCAGTGGTTAGCAGTGCTGCCTCAAAGCACCAGGGACCCAGGTTCGATTTCACCCTCGGGCAACCTTCTGTGTGGAGTTTGCACGTTCTCCCCGCGTCTGCAGGGATTTCCTCCGGGTGCTACAGTTTCCTCCCACAGTCCAAATATGTCCAGGCAAGGTGGATTGGCCATGCTAAATTGCCCATAGTGTGCAGTGATGTGTAACTTGGGTAAGTTATAGACGGATGGTCTGGTTGAGATGGTTCGGTGTGGATTTGTTGGGCCGAAGGGCCCGTTTCCACACTTTAGGGATTCTATCATTCATCACAGGAGTCAGCCAAGTGAATCTCTTTAAAACAGCCTCCAAACCCATATGTTTTAGAAAAGATATAGGGACCAAAATCGTACACAGCATTCCAGCGCCAGCCTCACCAACACTTTGTAATAAGACTTCTCTATTTTAAACTCTAAGCCCTTAGCAATAAGGAACAAACTCAATTTTCCTTCTTAATTACCTGCTGCACCTGCAAGCTAACATTGCTTAAGAACACCTAAATTTCTATGGTGCAATTTTTTGGAGAATGTTTGATTTCATTAATGTGCCACTATTCCTCCTTAGTGATGGACTCTACCATAGCTTGACATCTGTTGTTGGGATAAACTGACCTCCAGGATCTTGCTTGGTCTCCTCCCATCTTGAAAAGGGGTGTCACAAAAGCAGTTTTCTAACCCACTGGAACCTTCCAAGAATTCAGTGAGTCCTGGAATATTTTGTACATTATCTCCATTATCTTTGCAGCCACCCCCCTTAAATTCCTCAGATTCAGGCCATCAGATGACTCTGTTGACTTTTCTGCCTTCAATCCTGTTAGTTTTGTCAAATATTTTGTCTCTTGATAGACAGCATTACAAGGTTTTTCCTCCTATAAAAAGGACTTTTTTTTTTTATATAAGCATTCCAAAAATAACAAGCAAAGTGTTCCACTGTGAAAGACACAACATGTTGGTTAAATCACATGCCATTTCCCTGTCCACCATTATTAATTCCCAGTTGATCCTCCTCCATCCTTACTTTAGCTACTGCTTTTCTTTGTATATATCCATAGAAGCTTCTGCTGTTTCTTTTTATATTTCTTCAAAATTTACTTTCACAATTAATTTCCTCCCACTTTATTTGCTTTATCATCCTGAGTTTAATAGAACTTCCAAATCCTCAGGCCTATGAATTGTTTTAGCTGCTTTGTATAGCTTGGTTTTTGATTGGATACTCTTCAACACCTTAAGCGTTCATCGTTCTTGCCAAATCCTTCATGAAGGAAGAAATTTATGCTGAGCATTTTGAATATCTACTTAAAGCTCCGTCATTGACTATCTATTGTTTATTTTCCAGCCTGTTTTTGACAACTCAATGTTCATTGCTTTAACACCGAAGGCTGAAAGGAACAGGCTGAAAAAGTTTAATGCCAGTTAAGCTGGCATATGCCACTGCACTTTTCAAGAGTTGTGCACATGCGTTAATGACAGTGAAGCTGGAATAAACAAGGTCTGAATTTGTAGGCAGGAATAACGTACTAGGAGACACAAATGACTCAAACTAGGAGCCTGAGGAACTCCAGATAAACCAATTACATGCAGTACTCATGTGGGTAGTTTAGATTTTTGTTTGCCAGTTGTACTTTTCCTGGGCTGCTGCACAATTCCCTCTAACAATTGGATCAGATGACTAGAACCTTGGAGTGTCTGTCCAGTACATACTTTTTAACCTAGATTTTACACAGATTTGCTTAAGAACTGTTCATGGTAGCCTGAGCAGCATGACTTAGTAATTCAGTTAGCATCAAAGCACAATTACAGTCACAACATTCCTCTCAATCTACGCCCCAAACAATATTAATTTCCTCATCCTACCTCAGTGTGCTCACTGCCTTCTGCACCTGGTCCCACCCCTCACCCCAACTCATCTCCGGAATCCACAGATGCACATTGGAGGTCAGTGGACAGCTGAACATTTCTAGGGAGTGAGAACAAGGCTGAGCACTTTCAGGATATGAGGAGAGTAAAAGAATAAAAGGATAGAATGAACACAGCCAGTTTGGGATGGATGTGCACTGTGGGACATGAGAACAGTGTAAATCAATGAACCAAAGACAGATCTTAAAAAGGTTGCGCCTTCAGTTCATCATGAAAGAGGGAGGATAATTTAGTTGAAAATATGCTTGCCATTTCACCTCCTGACTACTGGCATTGCATCCTTGAAGCTAGCACTGGAATATACAACATCCCCATCTTATAACAGCAAGTGGTCAGAAAATCAGACACACTCCCCTCAGTGATCAAAATCTGGACCAAAGTAATTCAAATCGTATTGCTGGTATCAAAAAAAAAAAAAAAAAGGCGTGAGCAAAAGCTATACTAACAGAAACAAACATCTGAATTAAGGGCCTACCACAAAAAATGAAAAAAAGGGTTCAAGATTACAAACCAAAAGATAAAATGCAAAATAAATTGAAGAACTTTTCCCTAGCATGATAACTGTAGAATCTCGCTACTTGTTCAAAACTAAACTCAAAACTAGAATGAGCCCTTTTATGCATGGGACAAGATCATTGTTTGCAAAAGGCTAAGAAAAACATTAAACTTTTTAAAAGTTTCTTCAACTGATTACAGCCAACTTACTTAAGTCCAAATCATGACCAATTTATTTCAAATATGCACGAATTGTCTGTCTTTCATGGAGTAAACTGATTATTTTAAAGTCCATAGGAATTATGTAAATAAGACCAAAGCTATTCAGGAAAAAACCCAACTTAATATGCTTTGTGTAAATGACACCGAAGTATAGACCTCTTCCCACACACATACAGATTTTGCATTTGTAATGTGCATTTGACAGGGGAGTCCAAGAGTTGTTGATTTTGTGTGAACTGTTGGCTTGAATGGAAAAGTTAAAAAAACAAAACAGTGGGTTCATTGTGCCAAAGCATTAGTAATTCAAATTTCAGTACAATTACAAAAATATCAAAATAATAACATGCAATTATTCCCAAAAACCTCCGACCATGGCCAAGCAGAGAAAGGAGAAAGGAAACCACGATGCTCATCCAACTTAACCCAAAATTCTGGAAAGCCACTAACCAGTTATTATTTTTGTATTGTCATGAAAACATTAAGCTAGGTGAGCTGGGCTTATTACCCAAGAACTCTACAAATACCTAAATAAATTCTGCACGTCTCCTGGAAATGTACATAGGCATCATTCGAGTCTGTTAGCAAGTTGACTTGTACACCAGTTGCAACACAGTGCAGGACAACATTAAAAAGTCAGTCAGTCTCAACACAGGAAACATCCATTTGTCAGGTTGTTAAAATTACACCCCTGAATGGGAATGTGTTCCTAAGTACAGACATTCATAAGTCAGGGATCCCCTGTACTGAAAAGTCAAAGACTGCGAGAATGAATCACCACAGAACCCAGTAGTGTGGCACACTGCCATCACCAACTGCATCTTGATGCAGTGTTTGAAATTTGCACTCTTCCATGCAAATTGAATCTCTACATGTATTTCAGTATACTAAAAGAATTCAAAGCTGTCATATTGTATGACTAAGGCAACTGAGGAAAAAAAGACACACCCCTGTAGCGAGCTCCTCTCTCTGTTGTTTCTTTGACGTTAGATCTAAAGTAGCCGTCTCCAAATCATACTGTTGCAGTTCATGCTTTCTACATACAGACCTAGAATCAAAAGAAGAAATGAGTAATAATACCAAGAACATTAACATTTTGTTAATATCCTAATTTAGCAAGTTTTCACAATTTAATTTCTGGAAAAAGATCCTTGGATTTACATTGGGATAGCTCCCATATTTATACTTAAATTGGAATTTAATAGTGGAAACTTTCGAACTCATCGCCTGACTAACATGGGCCAAATTGTTCATACACATGACAATGTCCAATGAGAATGAGCGATAAGTAGTCAGACTTTCCAATTGTTGCTTGGAATTTTAAGATTAAAAAAAAAACTGTTCAACTGCTAATCTGGCTTTATAACAGATTTCCAACTCTTCAGTTGTTTTTAAAATGTTCCTATCCAAGTGCAAGATTTCTTATCCCACTTTCAAGTTTTCTTTTGCAAGGTTCAAACCATCTACTACAATTACAAACCACAGTTTTGTTATTTCTCGGCCAGATAATCCTCTGAGCCAAATTTATACAGTGTCATTTCAACAGTTACTATCTGCACATTGGGATTCGTAAGAATATCATGAGCCATTTGTTTGAGAACTGACACTTAAGCCTTTACCAAAAAAAAAAACTACGCATGTGTGAAAGCATGCAGTTATGCAAATCAGAATTACGAAGATACAAAATGGGATTATTAGACTAAGTACTAATTTGCATATAAAGTTTTTAAACTTCAGAAAACCCCCTATTTTAAAAATGTTTTTCATTTGAAGTTTACTTATCATTTGCTTTCTTTATGCACCTAGAAGTAATGTGAATTTTGTATCAGAATTAATCAAAAAACTATGCACAAGAAATTTTTGACAGCTTGTCAATTTCACAAACTAGCTGTGCACTGATAGAAGTCCAATTTCATGATGCACTGAAAAGACTCTGAACTAAGAATCTGATAACACGGTTGCTGTTTTACAAGCTAAAAGAACAAGTGCCAAATTGTCCTAACAAGTACATTCCAAAAACAGATGTACACCTTACACCAATTGTTATGGTAAACAGTCAAATCCTCTCACAAAATTGGGCATTAAATACATGTACAAAATGAAGTGCCCTAGAGAGAGGGAAATAACATTGCCTATGCACACCATAAACACCCTAACTGCAAATTTAACTGTCGTTTAACCATGCTGCTGGCTACTACAAAAGGAGGTCATTTTAAAAACGTACTCAAACACGCAGCCTGGAGGTGCTGTTCCCCATTCCACATTGCAACCACAGCTGCAGCTGATTACGCTATTTAAACATATTGAGCTTGCTTCACCATTCTAGATTATCTAGTTCAAAGTCATTTTCCCCACACTTGCCGCATTTCCCTTGATATAATTAGGTATCTGGGTGCTATAAATCATCACAGATGGATGCATTCAAAAAATGTTACCATTGTCTGTCATTTTACTGAGTTTCAGATTAGTTTTGTTTGGTTCATTTGTGAGATGTGGGTGTCACTGGCTATTAATCATCCCCAGTTGCCCTTGGAGACAGTGGTGAGCTACCATCTTGTATTGCTGCAATACATTCAGGGTAGGCACACCAACAGTGCTTTTAGGGAAGGAGTTCCAGGATTTTGACCCAGCTACACTGAAAGAACACGGATACGTTTCCAAGTCAGGATGGTGGCTGGTTTGGAAGGAAATTTGCACATGGTGGTTTTCCTGCCTTGCCCTTCTAGATCATTGTGGTCAAGGGCTTGGAAGGTGCTACCCAAGGAGCCCTCATGAATTTCTACAGTGCATCTTACAGATGGTACACACTGCTGCTACCGAGCATTGGTGGTGGAAAGACTTAATGCTTGTGGATGTAGTATTGATCAAGCAGGCTGCTTTCTTCTGGATGGTGTTAAGCTTCTAGTGTTGTTGGAGCTGCACTCATCCATGCAAATGGACAGCATTCTAATCATTCATCATGGTTTAGGGAGTCAGGACAGTTCAGTGCGCTGGATTCCTAGACTCTGACATGCTCTCACAGACACCATATTTATATGGCTGGTCCAGTTCAGTTTCTGGTCAGTGGAAGTGCTCGAGATATCGATAGCAGAGAATTCAGTGATGATAACATCATCAAGGTTAACAGGTGACGATTAGACTCTCTTATTGAAGACAGATGTTATGACCAAACTGTTACTACTAAACAAGTCAGATCCCAGAATTAAATTCAGCTTAATACGTTAATTTGTCTTAAATAATTTAATGTGGTGGTCTTCCACTGAAATATAAACTCTTATTGTTATTACTCAAAAGAAACAAAATTAAAATAAACCAATCGTCTCAAATGTGACAATAATTTCAAAACATGTCAAAATAACTCATCTACTCCCCACTACAATCATTTTACAGGTAATCAAAATTCAGAGAAATGTTCCTTCCCCAACAAATCTGTAGGTTCGATTTAACAGTTTCTTCAGCTCCTGCCCCTACGTGCTGAGGCCACAATTAAGATCTTAGACTTTTCTCAGCTCTTAATAATCTGCAAAGTTTGAACATTTCTGGTCTGAAAATTTCTCAACTACAATCTTTACTGATGCAAGCTATTTTTCTAGTTGCTCTGAAGAGTGTCCTTTTGTAGAAGAAACTATACTTGCACCTGACTTCAGTCTGGTCTCTTTCAAACTAAACCCAAAAGCAATTGAACTAAATTTTAAAAAAGCTTGCTCATCTTAATGATTCAACTCCAGCTAATGATGGAATGATTTTTCCCTTTGATTCTAAATCCCCACAGCAAACATTTCCATTAACACTTCAAGGGTTATTTCAGTCATGTAGCCTCTGACATATACTGGTTTTAAAGTCATGGTACCTGAAAGACTAGCCTAACTAACCCCTTCACAAAGTGCCCAACACACATAACCACTAATTTTAAAAAAAACATATAAAACACATGTTCCATCACAGTGGTCATTGTTTCTAGTCACTGTCAGCCCAAACCTGGGTATTGGTCAGCTTTGTAGCTGTTGGACATAGATGGCTTCAAGTTTCAGAAGAGTAACATCCCCACCACTGACCTAATGGCAGAACAAAGGTCATTAAGGAAGCAGCTGAAGATTGTTAAACCAAGGACACTGGGATTGTTCTTCTTTGGTACTAATTATGACCCCACCCAATTACCAGAGACTCTTCCCTCCTCGCTTCTGCCACCACACACACCCTTCTGCCACCACCACCACCACCACCACCACCACACTCCCCTCCACCGCAGCAGATTTCCTACCCTACAGGATGTCAGATGGGTTACAACAATTGACAATTGTTTCATAGTTATTAGACACTTATTCTGACAAAAAAGTAATTGTTTAATGATCATGAAACCTCAAATCCTTGAAGAGTTATCACCTGTGCTGTCTTCACTAAAATCTGCAAATCCACTGACAGGGTAAGCATACTAATGAGAATCTTGCCTCACTATCAAGGCAATAATCACAAATGATCAACTGAAATAGGTGGGCCACATATCAGGCATATTGACGCAAGATTCCCTAATCAAGGCCTTTACTCTGACGTTCACAATGGTAAGTGACACTAGAAGGCTACATGTTACAAAGATACCCTGAAAGCATCTGTAAATAAATGCAACAACCCCAGGGACGTGAGTCTCTTGCCCTAGAATGCATAAAATGGAGGAGCATGTATGAAGGCACCAACTGGTTTAAATTACTGAGATAAGCATATGGAGGTCAAATGAGACAGAAAAAAAAATGTAGAACAGTCCACCCAAACACCATCTGATCCATCTGTGGCAGTATGTGTAGCTCCAGGATTACATCTGTTCAGCCACTGCAGAAGCCACCCAGCCAGGGGTGGAAGCAAGTCAGCCTCAACCCTGAGGGACTGCCAAAGATGATTTAAAAAAAAAAGCAACATTTTAAATGTGTAAAGAAAACTTAAAAATGTCACGGTGGGAATTCAAATCTGGTTCTCCAGAACATTACTTGGGTCTCTGGATCACTAACCTAGCAATAACATCACTATGCCTTGTTTCTGAATTCTCAAAATGTAATGAAAAATTAGTGTTTATGGCAATTGAGGATGGCCAATAATGTAAAGCAGGCCTTTTTTGAACTGTTTCAGTGGGGATAGGTAGGATTTTAATAATAATTTTGATTCCATGGTTGTGAATGACTGTAACACGAGTATCATTTATTTGTGTTGTAGAGAATTGATCTTGGTTAGTATTGCTTCAAACATTAAAATGTTTTAACCCAATTGCTCCCACTATGTACTGCAACAACTTCAGTTAGCCATTAAAGTAACTTGAACATTTATAGATAGCAGCTTAATACATGGCCAACTGTTGTGCATAGCATAGTGAGACTAAATGCTGAAGGTATTGATAAACACAGAAACCTCAAGTCTGAGCAAATTATATTAGGACACACTTACAATATCACTGTTCCATGCATACAGCATTAGTAGGCTTCCAAGGGCAGCACAGTGGCACTCACCACTGCCTCAGTGCCAGGGACTCAGCTTTGATTCCAGCCTTGGGTAACTGTGTGGAGTTTGCACATTCTCCCCTTGTCTGCGTGGATTTCCACTGGGTGCTCTGATTTCCTACCACCGTCCAAAGATGTGCAGGCTAGGTGGATTAACCATGGCAAACGTGGGGAGTGGGTAGGGGGCTGGGATCTGGGTGGGATGCTCTGAGGGTTGGTACAGATTCGATGGGCCGAATGGCCTCTTTCTCCACTATAGGGATTATAAAACTTCGAAAAAAAAAATTTAACTTGATTAGCCTAACTCCTCATATTACTTTGGATTCAAACAAGTACACAATACATACCGAACAGCTTCTGCAAAGAAGAGATATTCCTTTAACTGATCAGCATAGTGCTCCTCTTCTTCTAGAATGTCATCAATAGATGCTGCGTATCTTTAATAAGGAAGAAAAGTTTTGAGTTTGACATGCAATGAGATCCTATTGTGATGGTTTTGCTAGATTTTTTTTACCATGACACATTAAAATGCAACCTACACAACGTAGTACGACTAACTGGGTGTACCAAATCTTAAACAGTTAAAATGACACACATTTCATAGAAAGCCCAACAATCGTCATTGGACACTTGCATTTTCCTGGAAACTATTACTAAAAATGCTTACAACCACAACTCTTTAATTCACCAAACTAATGTGTGCAGCTCAATAATTGCTCAAGTTAGCAAGGCATCAATAGCTCAGTGTGACCATTTCTTTTTAAGTCACAAGAAAAATCTAAAAAGGCCCTTGATAATGTCATTCTATTAAGCAAATGGAACTCATCAAGTGTGCATTACAGCAGCTTTTTGTTATTGCATGGTTTTTGGCATAGGTTTCAAAGGGGAAATGGGAACAATGCCAAAATGTTCCTGCAATTATAACACTGGAAACTCTTGAGGTTTAGATTTAGCTACTTTAATTCCTGCATATTTTTTTTAAACTGAATTTTGATCTGTTTATAAGATGTCAGTATTATTTTGCTTCCAGATCTCCCCAAAAAGGCTTCAAGCATTTACAGTTTAAAATCATTATGACAGTATGATATCAAAAACAATGCATCAATTAGGACCGTTTAAGATACATACACATCCATGTGGTGACCAGCACTCTGCAGCCCATCCCCCATTTCCTTCTCTATAGCACTCCATTCACTGTTGAAAGAAAAAAATGTAGTGTTATATAATTCACGTAGATGTACTAAAAAAAACTCCATACAAATATTTCTAAAAAATAGGCCATCTATATACTGTTCAAAACCAAAATTTATACTAAAACTTCATATTCTAATACATTTGATAAAACAATTTCTTTAAAGATAATGTATGCTGTTCAGAGTTAGGGAAATTTTATATGACATTTCATATGACCATTTCACTTCTCTCTAACTTAGTAACTTAACTCCTTTACATCCTTTTGTACCAAGTGGTGAAGCTGTAAAAATACTAAAAAAAAAAAAAAAAAAAACTTACCTGAAAACTCTTCCATAATTTCCATGTACTTTGTATACACCATACAGACGGTCTGCTACCCTCTGCAATTATAGTAAGCATTTTGGAAATTAACCAAGGTACCACTAAAAGCCGATCACCACACATTTAGGCAACTGCAAGATTGGAGCAAAAAGAAATTTTTTTTTTTTTTTTTTTTTTTTTTTTTAAAATTGTGAAACTGAGATCTGTTAACTCCTGAGTCAAGAGGCTGCTATAGGAACGAGGAAGTTGCTCCAGTTCTGAACCATGATATACAATGACTGAGAAGTTGTTAATTGTCAGGGTGGGCATGAGGATTGCTGATCCTGATTGCTCTCCAGTAGAACATAGTTGAACAGTGAAAGACACACAGCAACAGTAGGGTCTGGCTGTAATAGCTTGCCAACATATAACTTTACAAGTTTATACACAAGTATAACCACTCTGACAAAAAGGTATAAATCTCAAATTACATACTGCTCTAACTCGCAGGAGGTGAGATATGATGGACTGCAGCTCATCGCCATAATGTTTCAGCTCCGTAAATCTCCTGTGAACAGATGAACAGATTAAGATTAAAAATGAACTAAGATTAAAATACTCAAATTGCATTTTATAATAGCAACACACTGTTCCGAAAAAAGAAGGCTAAGTTTTCTATCAAACACTTTGTAAAATGGATAACACTTCAAAATGATAGAGAATAAGCCCTTGAGGAACTCAGTTGACTTTCTATAAGCCCAAATACAAGGAGAATACCTAAACAAGTAGATAATACGTTCGCTCAGTTCTGTGAACTAGTTACTTTAAATTTAATAGGCTAAATCATAACATATGGCTTCAATAGCATTTAAATTGTTACCAAACAGGATACCAAAATATTAGCTAGCTGAAGATGGCAAAACCTTCCACTGGAAAGTGGAAGGGGAAAAGCATTTAATTGGAAGCTTTTCTTGGAGCTGATTAAAAATGTGAACAGAACAATACGACTATATGTATATATTTCCATACATAGCTACAAAAGAAATACATAAACTTCCAGAGAGAGTGCTGAGGGTTTACAGGATGCGGACAGGAAAGTGTAGGGGAGACCATAAACAGATCAGCTATGATTTTATTGAACGGCGAGACTGAACGGCAAGTTAGGCACGACGGGACAAATGACTGACTACTGCTCCCAAATCTCAGGTTCTTACAATGCTGTACACAGCTGACACATGTATTCCTGAAGTAGTTTTGTGATTACTAAAGATGAAGCTGAAAAGAGAAACTTTAGCAGACTTAATTCCCAAGATGTCCATCCGATACAAAACAGTGATCAGAAGCAGAAGAGACAGTTACAATGGTGGAATACAAATCTGATTTAATTAAAAGCAAACTGTAAAAGGTTCTGGTCAGGCCACTGATCACAACCGTCCAAGTTCTGATTTTTAATGTTTAGACTCATTCTTGGGACTTGAGCTACATGGACTGCACGTAATATGTAATCTTAACTGTCTTCAAGACAGTTGGGGGTGGGGGGTGGTGTCTCTTCATCTTTCTAGGTAGTGAACACCACAGGTTTGGAAGACGTGACGGAAAATTGCTGCAGCACATGAATGGAAGTTTAATGTGGTCAGTGGGGCGCCAAGCATGCTTTTTTGTCTTGAACGTCTCAAGTGTTACTGGAATTGCACTCATCCAGGCAAGTGGTGAGTAATCCATCACAATTCTGATTGCTCAGCATCAATGCTTAACAGACTTCATAGAATTAGCTTCTCGCTGCAGAACTCTCAGCCACTGATCTGCTTTTGCAAGCACAATTTTTACAAGGTCAGTCCAGTCAATGGTAATCAAGGATGTTGTTTCTGGAAGCACAATATTGTTAAGCAAATGAAAACAATAAACCCCACTGTATGTATCTGTAAATATGTAAAGGTACAAATTAAAATAAATTAAAAAGTGGTCAATTTAGCTCTGAATTTCTTTATCATGGTACAAAAGACTTGCATGTGCATGATGCCAAAGCTCTTCATTAAAGATAGCTTTCTCAGGGCATTGACAGCAGCATAGCAAGAAAGTGGTTCATAAGATGTATAGGATCCTGGGTTTTACAAACAGGCAAATAGACTTAAAAAAGCAAGTCAATTTTGTGTGGTGACCCTATATAAAGCAGTAGCTGCACCTCAACTGAATACAGTGCCAAATTCTGAGTAGTATTCAGGAACTGAGAGAGAAAGCTCTGGAGAATGAAATCACAAGAATTTGAGGAGATGAGAAAGAGGTTGTTGACTTGCTCACCAAGCTGGCTTGTTCTCGTTCAGACGTTTCGTCACAAGAGGATTAGAATAACACTGCTTCATTGGAGGCTCCACTGACGATGTCAAATAGCATGATGATGAAAGATCTGAACGAGAACAAGCCAACAACCTCACCCACAACCTGAGCTACAGATCTTTGCCAAAACTTTGAGATAAGATTTCAATTATGTGGATAGATCAGAGAAACTGGGACTGTTCTCCATACAAGAAAGCATATTCAGACAAGGCTTGACAAAGTTCTCAAAATCATTAGCAGCCAGGAGAAAACAGGTGGGGGCAAGTTCCTATTGATTGAAGGATTGAGAATCAGGAGGATACCAATTTGTGTGATTGACAAAAAGAGCCATATACAAGAGAAGCAATTTTGAAGAAATTCCATCATGTTTAGGATCTGGAATACAGTGCAGGAGGGTGTGGTGAAGGCAAATTTAATTCCAGCTCTTAAAAAGTGAATTGAATAATTCTCTCAAAAAAATTGTTTATTTCTGTAGTCCTCCAGTCGGGATTTAGGGCTAATCCAGTTGCTCTTGCGGGGAATAGGCATAGACATATAGACCAAATTGCCTCTCTTATGCAACTTTTTAAATGTACTTCCAGCATGGACAGTGTTGTAACATAGTAAAGTAATGCACTACACTACCTCGAAGTTTGTTGGGCACAATGAGGTAAACAGATAATCTATTTCATTGATATTGGTTAAGGTTTAAATATGGACTTGAACAGGGGAAAATTTCTCTTCCTCAGTCATGGGATTTATCATTTCAACTGAGGAAATAGATGTAACTATTTAATCTCAATATTATACTGAAGTACCAGCCTGGATAATGTACCCATGTGTCCAGACAGAAGGGCTTAAACCCATCAGTCCTCTAACTCAGAGGCAAGAGTGCCACCCATAAAACCACAGTTTACACACTAAATTTAAAAAAAAGCCTTCCAGAACAGCTTGAACAGTGATTATTATCATGAAATGTTTACAGAAAGTGGTTCCAATGGCTGAATGGTCAATAACTAGGATACAAAAAGTCTGGAATGACTATTTGACACCAAAATCATAACCAAATTCATATAAATAAATATTTGAAATTAAAATAATTGATGTGTGTAAGGTGTGGCACAAACTAGATTACCCTTTCAATAGAGTGAATAGCCTCCTTCTTGGTGCTATTCTCCACAATTTGATAAATAGTTCAGAGACTGCAGATAAAAATTGGGCCAGACATAATTCACAACTACATCAGTGGAATTTCTCTGTATTGAGGCTGTCACCAAATGATGCTATCCGAACTTTTTTTTTTAAAAAAAAGCTGATCATACATGCAAAATGTATAAATGGAAATTTCATGTGCACAATGGTTCACTTATAAAGCCATGTTAACTAACTGGATTGGTTTGACTGGTTATCACAAAAAACAACTTGTACAGATAGCATGGAGTAGCTCATCTGAAAATTCTCAGCTATATCCCTAGCTGGCATATCAATTCACAACTATACAAGAGAGTATCTGGAGCACCAAGTTAGAGGAAAAATGTGGTAAAATGGACAAAAAAAAAGGTGCTCATAGATCACTCAGGAGGGGTAAGTAAACAAAGCTGTTACAAAAGGTTTAAAACAATGTGGTAAAAGGAAAACAAAAAAAAAAAAAAAAAAAAAATAAAAACTTACTTGTCTGGATTCTTGACTCTGAAAGTTGCATTGAGAGCTTTTAATCTGGAATCTGCCTATTTAAAAATTAAAAAATTAGTTAGATTTAAATATTTGAAAATAGTCCTTCCTCAATGATTACATAGTGAGGAAAATAGTTTCTCTTAAAATTCCATTCACTGTCTTTTCTGCCTAATGAAAAGTTCAAGGGCAGCTCAGAATGCTGAGTTTTTCACCTCTTGGATGTTTTTAAACCTTTAAACACAGGCTGAAGTTACAAGACTATACTAGTTTTGTAGTCTCAGAGGGGCTATTTTGATCAGACATAGAATTACAACCAATCAGCACAGAATGTCAAAATTCAGGGGTTACACCATATAAAAAAGGTCCGATTTTATAAAAAAAACTCAAATTGCAACATTAAGTGCTTCTGTGGACACTGCCAAGAATAACAATTTGCTACAGATCCACATTTAAAAATTCAAGTACTATATTGAGTTAAACCAATGCTACAGTTGCAACACAAATTTTTATTCAAGTTTTGATTAAATATTTATACACTAGAGAGATCAATGGATAGCTAAAGCAGCAAAATCTAGTGTAGTTTCAAAGGAAAACTGTTTCTATTTTCCATTACCCTATGAGAACAATCAAGAAACAAAGAAAAATACATCTGATAAAAACACTACTCATAAAAAAGATCAAGTGTTAGTACTGGCAATGCCCAAACACGTAATTTTGTTAGCCCAATGCAAGTTTACGCGTGTATTTCAAAAATATTCTCATGATGCACTACTTAGCCATTCATCACAGAAAGCAGATCACCAAATGGGAATCTGGCAAAACAAACCGGAGTTCCACCTTTCCCAGATCCTTCTGCTATTATGAAGTCCCCTGCTCTTGCATGTTCCCCAGTTTCATTACCAGATCCTTTTCCTCGGTACTGGCTCCTAATACTGACACTGCCAAACCAGTAAAAGTCCAGTCACGATGAATAGTATGTGCCGTATTTAAACAATTTAAGTTTTGGAAGTTTCTGCTGCACACAGAACAGTGAAGTCTGCGCAATGGAAAAGAGAAGGGAGTATTGTCATGACCCACTGTTTCTACCATGGATCTTTACGTGAATGAATGGGCTGATTCTGGATCAGAAATCTTTCAGCATCGAGGAGTTGCATTTTGTTAATGCAAACAGGGCAGGGCTTATATAGTTAATGGTAGGTCCCAGGGGAGTGGTGCCAAACTAAAAGACCTAGGGGTCAGGTGCACAGTACCTTAGAAGAAGTGGAGTTGCAGGTAGACGGTGGTGAAGGTGGCAAATTGGCATGCTTGCTTTCATTGGCCAGTACGTTAGAGTGTAGGAGATGGGATGTCATGTTGCAGCTGTACAGGACATTGATGAGGCGACTTTTGGAATACCACGTACAATTCTGGACACATTCTATAGGAAGGATGTTACTGAAACTGGAGAGGTTGCAGAAAAGATTTACAAGGACGTTGCTGGGAGTGGAGTTTGAGAGGTGACCTTAGAAGGTTTTCAGATCACGATGGCACGGATGTGGCGAACAGCTGCGGTCTTTTCCCCAGCGTAGGAGGGGTCAAAACCAGAGGGCATTGGTTTTGCATGAGAGGGGAAAGATTTAAAAAAGGACCTAAGGGGCAGCTTTTTCCACGCAGAGGGTGGTGCATGTAGGGAATGAGTTGCCAGAGGAAATGGTGGAGGCTGGTATAATGACAACATTTAAAAGGCATCTAGATGGGTACATGATTAGGAAGGGTTATGGGTCCAATACTGGCTATGGGGACAAAGTCAGACGGCAGTCCAGTCTACTTGTTCTTCCAAAAATTCTTATCAAAATTTCACCCCCCGCCCCACCCCCCCAAAAGCTTCTGTATACGGTCATATACCTTTTCTTGATTGAGGAAACATCAGTCCCTTGTTCTGGTTACATTCCCACCACCCACCCCCACCCCACCCAGGCTTTCAGGCTAAATGCAGGTACATTCTTTGGCAAGATATCACTGCAAGGCCCAACTGTAGATTCTCCCACTGGCTCAAATCAGGCAATCTTAAAAACTTCTGCGTCTCAAAATCAGAAATGGAGATCATGACTCACCGCCTTCCACATGATCAAAGTAGTTAATGTTTCACTCTGCTTACAGTGCAAGTCTGTCATTTATTCTGGCTAGCTTTTCCCATTGAACTGCAGATCATAAGAAAACTAAATTGCAACTAAACACTGCTCAAACTAAAGAAAGAAACCTTCCTAAACTCCACCTATCACCTTGATGCTTACTCTGGACAATCTTCAAAACTGACCTTTGTTTCTTACTTGATGGATAAAATCAATTTTACATCTTCAAGGTTCACTGTATGCTTGTAAAATAATACAGCTCCAACTCCCAGGACATAAGCTTCTCAGGATTGCACTTCTCTTCAACTAAGTGTGTCCATTTCATCTCAGTTCTCCAGCTAAGTAAGCTCACCTAATGTTTTATAGAAACAGGAAATAAGAGCAGGACGCAGCCATCTGGCCCTTTGAGCCTGCTCCACCATTCTTCACCAACACAGCTGATCGCCCTGCTTTCTCCCTATAACCTTTGATCCCATTCACCCCAAATGCTATATCTAGTCACCTCTTGAATACATTCAATGTTTTGGCATCAAGTACTTCCTGTGGTAGTGAATTCCACAGGCTCACTGCTCTTTGCGTGAACATGTGTCTCCTCATCTCAGTCTTAAATGGTCTACCCCAAATCCTCATACTGTCACCCCTGGTTCTGGACACACCCACCAGCAGGAACATCCTCCCTGTCCAGTCCTGTTAGAGACTTTTTAAAAGTCTGAGATTTTTGCTGCATCTCCCCCAACGACCCCCCCACCAATCATTTCTATGAACTCTAGTGAAAACAATCCAAACTGAGTCAGTTAATCTCTCCTCATACGTCAGACCCTCAATCAGCCTGGTAAACCTTCACTGCACTCCCTCAGGAGCAAGAACATCCTTCCTCAGAAAAGGAGGCCAAAATTGCACACAATATTCCACATGTGGTCTCAGCAAGGCCCTGTATAACTGCAACAACACATTCCTACTCCTGTACTCAAAACCTCTCACAAATGATGGCAAATGCAATGTTGGCATTCTTTACTGCCTGCTGCACCTGCAACCTTAGCTTCAGCAACTACTTCACCTATTAACATACTATGACCCCAACCTATCAAAGTATAATAGACTTCAAAAGTGCTTTAATTGCATTTATCCCATTTTGTACAGATAAATTTTACTTAAAATTACAGATATATTCTAAAACTAAATAGTATATTGTAAATCCACTTGAAGCACAAACTAAGTATTCACAACAGAAGTTACATCCAAGGAATAACAAATCACAGGAAAATCTACAAATGTTACTTCCAACTTTTAGAAGCTTCCATACAATGCAAGTAGAGGCTTTACACATAATTAGCCAGTCTTAATATTACCAAAGATGTTTAATCAAGTACCAACTTGCCAAGTCAGGGACAGATAAGTATCTTAATAAACTCCACCAAAAGAAGAGACAAGTCATTCAAATTAAGATCAAAGTGCTGAATGGCCTAAATAATGGTCGACCAGTTTCACCCAGTCCGAACAGAATTCGAGTTTCTTTTCCTGGATCTTGCCAGATGACTCAGGATGAGTCACTCAATTTCAAAATTATGGTTCAACAAATAGAATATAAAACGTACCAGCACCCCAAAAGCTGATATTAAAAACAGTATCAGAGATAGTAGGAACTGCAGATGCTGGAGAATCTGAGACAGCAAGGCATAGAGCTGGATGAACACAGCAGGCCAAGCAGCATCATAGGAGCAGGAAGGCTGACGTTTCGGGCCTAGACCCTTCTTCAGAAATTCCCATTTCTGAAGAAGGGTCTA